GCTCATTCACGATTCTCGATTGGACGGGGCAGGGCATGCAGTCAGCATGTTCTCGAAGCAGCATATAGCTGCTGTGCGGTTAGGAGTCTTGATGAGATCTAATCAAGAATCAAAATCAAAAGATAGAATTAAGAATCATGAATAAAAAGAAGTGCGACCTCATCACGTGTTTAAAGAAGTGACTACCAAAAAAGACAGCGGACCTCCATGTGGAGGTCAAGATCATCCACACGTACTTTATTTATTGGCGGGCCATCCTCTCGAGTTCCCGAGTCGGTAGCTAGCGTTAGGAAGTGCGAGTGTGAGCGCGAGTGTCAGTGAGTGTGAGAGTAGTAGACAGTGTCTGTGAGTATTGCTGCGCATGCGCTGGACACCGAGCAGGGAATAGCATCACTCGTGACAACTTGACTACTCAGGATGCTAAAGGAACTTTCGCACAAACAAATCAAGAATCGAATCGAATCAGATCTCGAACAAGCGCAACTCGCTCGACCCCGACGATCCGACCGCGTACGTTGGATTCCGAGACCTCCTTTCAGCAGCTCTCGCCCTCTTCAAGCACCGTGAATGACATTCGTGTACCGAAGCGCGACAGGCCGCCATCCATCCATCAAAGGCATTACGTGACTCTGATTCTGCGTCGATGCGTACTCATTAATCGACTCGTGACTTGATATGCATCCCCCAATTGCATCTTGCACCCAAACTCAAATTGCAGCGCAGCAATTGAGTCACAGCCACAATTGAATTGTGAGTCGTGGATTTGTGTGTCGAGTTGGTGCGATCGAGTAGTCGTGAGTCTTGATTTGGTCAGATCAGTCTGCGCCCAAGCGGTGCGCTGCTGTGCGCGAGGCCGAGCGAGGTGAGGTGAATGCACGAACGACGACATATGCGCGTTGGCTGAATCGATAATCGCGTGCATGACAGGCTCGGTTGGAGGATGTCCGTGCGCGGTGCGGTGCGTTGCAAGCACACGCACCCGGCATACATAGAGCATGGCCTGCCTTCCAAGCCGCGCACTTCTTCCTCCTCCCCAAACTCGACTACCATCCTGCAGCAACTCACATCCCAAGACATACGGCTCAACGCCCACCCACACCACCGCACTCAACACTAACATCGAATCATCATGGTAAGTGTTTTATCCCCCCCGGGCTGGTTGAGACGATGCGCAGCTCGACGGTCACGAGCCACGATTTGGAGTCCCTCTTACCATCACCTGCCCCCGTCGAATCCCCTCGCACGCGCGGGGCACTCGCATCAGTCGCTCGTAGGCCAAAAGATTCCGGACACTGAGTTCTCCCACGTTCCTTGGAGCGATGAGCTCTCCAACGCTGCAGCGTGCGGTATTCCGGAAAAGTACCGCACTACTCAAAAGTTTGCGTGAGTAGCACATCATCACGGGTTTGGAGACAGGGTGGTACAGCGCAAGCAAAGAACGGCTTCAAGGATAAAAGGTGCGAGGATAGCGCTTGTAGCTGTTAGGATCTTATGCGATGAAGGTCATTAAGGTCGAGCTTGATGCGCACACCTTGAGAACACCGTCAGGCCGATCATCGAATCCAAGGCGGTCAACGTCGAGAGCCGTCGCACGCACTCACGACCTCCAGAATAGGGAGCACGCAGATATCTTGTCCATTTGGTGCACGCCGCTCACACAGTACTTTGATTGCTGACGCTCCCTACTTCACGCTTGCACGTGCAGAGGAAAGAAGGTGGTCATCGTTTCGGTGCCAGGAGCATTCACGCCTACTTGCCATGGCAACCACATCCCAGGCTTTGTCAAGAAGGCCTCGGAGTTCAAGCAAAAGGGTTACGAAGTGATCGTATTGGCAAGCAATGACCCGTGAGTCTGAAATTTTCATGTTCATCCTGTTGGCCCCCCGCCCAACACTCGCGCCTTTCCGTTGCGTGTGGTATGCTCACGCCACTCTGCATGGGTCCTGGACAATTTGCTTCCAAAATAGCTTTACAATGTCCGGCTGGCGCACTGCTCTGGGAGCCAAAGGAGAGCTGGAATTCGCCTCGGACCTCAATTTGGAATTCAGCAAAGCACTCAATGCCACAGTCGACATGACCAAAGCTGGCTTCGGTGTTCGCGGAGCTCGCTATGCACTGATCGCCGATGACAACGTGATCAAGGCTTTTGATAGCGAGGAGAGGTGAGTAGGAGGCATGGGAAGGCGATACGCAGCCTGAACAGCATGAATGCGACTGCGGATGCAAAGCGCTGATCAGGCAATTGCACTCCGTTATGTGCACGCCCAGTCCTGGAAATGTTGGTGTCAGCTCAGCTGAGGCTGTCTTCGGCAAGCTTTAAAGGAGCGCAAGAAGCGAGGGCGGAGGTAGTGTGGATGGCTTCATAGAGGCATGCGCTCGAGAAGGAACTTGGGGCCTCAACAGCGAGCAGCATCAATTCGAGTAGAAATCAAAATAGAAATTCGTCGACACTCGGTATGTTTCAGAGCAGAGTGTGTGCACCTTGCCTGCTTACTGAGCTGCTGGGCCAGCGGTCGGATTGATGGCTCGAGCAGCTAGCTTTTCAGGTCGTGCTGCATCCGTCATTCAGCCGTTACACGAGTGCGAACTGACTTGGACGCTGACTCAAGGATGGGACGATGTGGCCCGATGTGAGCAAGTTTGAGCAGATCTAAGAATCGTTGGGACATCTGGTAAGACATTGGTTCCTTGCAGGTAACCAATTTTCCAAAACAGGCCGATTGCGCATCCTCGTCCATTCGTCGCCAGTTTGCACGATGACTCGTTGATTGGGTCACCTTCACGCGCGAGTCGCAAACTTTTGCGTGATTTGATCGTGCGTGCCCCCTTTCAATGCATTTTGCGTTGGGATCGATTGGATGTGGAGAGATTGACCGTACGGTCCCTGCCGGTTCGGTACGAGCGATGCGGCGACTGGCCGTCTTTGGACGAGAAAGGTGCAGCAGGCGCAGCGGAAGAATTGTGAATGTCTCTTGCACCTCTGATCATTCTGCACCTCACACTCCCTCGACACCACTTCCAATTCCAAAATTTGCTGTCGACAGCACCGTCTGAACAAGTCCTGGCCAATGTGAATCTAAAAGTCATCACTCATCACGCTGCAAATCCTCTTTTCTGCTTCAGCTACATAGACCAAAAGCGCACTCACTCGCGCGTACAGTACTTCTGAAGCTCCTCGGCTGTTGAGCAGCGGGGAGCTGCGTGCGTGCGTGCGTGCGTGCGTGCGTGCGTGCACGCCGAGTTCATCGGCACTGTTTGCGATTGGTGGGATGTGGGGAGAGCACGTATCCATCACGCTAAAACAATTCACGATTTGACCGCACGCTGGCAACTTTTTGACTGTTGATGCATGCTCCGCTGCAAGGCGGCGTCTGTGTGGACCCTAAGTCACGAGTGTGAGTCTGAAGTTGCTGCAAGCTCAAAGTGCAAGTCAGCGCTAGCACCTTATCCACCGTTTCTTTGCGCCACTTTCCTCATACTCCATCACTCGTGAGTGGCCGAGGGAAGGTGAACGAGCTAGCTAGCTTAGGCTCGATTGTGCGCCGGCGAATGCACGATTTGAGGCTAAAGAAAGTCGGTTGATCGTCTTGCTGACCGCCAGTGTTGCTACACGTAGTTCTCCTTGTGTGTATGTACTGTTGCACGTAGTACTTTGTTCAGCGTGCAAGACAAGCACGCCCCACCCGCGGCGCTCTTGCGTGCCTTGCTTTGTCGACCCCGAGCTAAAAGGAAATGTGGCAGCAGTAGTAGTGCAGTACACAGCAGGTACACTCGACCACAACGAGATAGCTTGCTTGCTCCTGCGTCTGGCGCACCGCTGACCACGTTCGCCGGACTGATTGGCCACACTCACGGCGGGAAAGTGCGATGACAAGACGAATGGAGCGAAGAGCAAAGGAGGGCGCCTCAGAATTTGTGATTGGATGGACGCAGGAAGTTTTTGTATAAGAGCCAGCCCTGATGAGAGCCCCACCGAATCCTCCTCCGACCCTCCCTCCACGCTCCGCCCTGCCTTCATTTGCTCTCCTCATCCCCCCCGCGCTTCCAACAACCCAAAGCCTCTTTCCCCTCCCACTCTGCTCATTCACGATGGTGTCTCTCCGCCTCTTGTCCTTGTCTGCTCTCGTGCTCGCCGCAGCCTCCGCAGCATCGGCCGCAACGGTGACGTTCGACTGCTCGAGTGAGTGCAAAGACTGGACGTGGACAAAAGAATGTGAAGAGTCTATTTCAATCCCCGCAAAAAAAAAGGCTTGCTGACGCAGATGAGTCTCTCTCTCCCGCTTGCACACAAACTGCCCCTTTCCCCCCTTGTTAGAGGTCCCCAACATTTGCTCCAACGATTGTTACGCCCTCAAGTGCGCAGGCAAACCTAGCACCCTGCACAGAAACTCTGCAGCAGCTACCGACAACCGTAATCACAACGCTTGCAAATCTCCCAATCGATGCTCTGGAAATCCCGACGATAGCAATTCTTGCGACGAATACCCTTACGCTTCCACCTCCGAGGGCGGCGCCGGCGCAGTGACCCGTTGCGTACCCGCTCACGAGAACAGCGTTCAAGGTGCGTTCTGCCTCCTACCCCCCTTCCCTTTTCTTTTCGCGCGACCGACTTTGTCGACCAAAAACAACCCAACGTGAAAGCTCGCTTAAACTCCTACGCTAACCCCCATCTTCCCTTTACACACTCTCCCTTCCTTACCAGGTGGCACCCTCTCCTCCTTCTACACCCGCAGCAACGTGCAGCAAGGAGACGCCTACAACGTCGCCTTTACCGGAACTTCTGGTCTTCAATACTGCGGAGGCAGCTGTTCCAACAGCGGCAACGAGGTTCAACGCAGAGGCATGCTCTTCAACAAGCGTCAACAAGTCACTCTTCACGCCGAGCGCAGGTTCAAGTTGGAAAATGGTGCAGAGATCCTCATGTTCGAACCCATCGCCAAGCGCGGAGCTTTCAATTCCCTCGTCGGTCAGACCGTTCACCTCAACGACGCTGATGTCAAGGTCGTTGAGGCTCTGTGAGCTCATGCCAAAATCCTGCGCAAGCGAACCTTTCGGGCCTCATTTTCTTTCGACTTCTCTTGGCGTCAAGGCCTGCAACGCTGTTAGCGTCCTTGATGTCCCTGATCGGCCTAGAGAACTTCCATTATCTCTCTACACAAGTGTACAAATACATTAAAGTGTCCTCATTTCCCTTGCTCAGCGTGAAAGGAGTGGTGATGGTATGGCGAGCTAGCTGCGTATTTGGCAGGGCCGCTTTTGGCAAAGACGGCCTACAAGCTTCCTTCGCCCGTCGACAACTCCTCCACAGTCCTCAGCAGCTCGCCTAGCTGACTGTGCAATTTGCGAATGACGAGTTGATCCACAGGGTTGATGCTCTCTTCATCATCCAGCTCGCCATTCGTCGAAGCTTGATGCGCATCTGCTCGCTCCGATCCTTGACTCTGGCTCTGCTCCAGCCTGTTCGCAATCGGTTCCACTAAGTTGGTCCTGCGATCAGCAGCAGCCGAGACCTTGCCCAGCGCATCGCGAAGATCTTTGAGTTCGCAGCGCATCGCAAACAGCGCAATACGACGCGCATTCACGGGCGAAGGTCGATAACTTCCGATTCGTATGTCCCACTCTGGCGTAGGCGCACCCGCAGAGCCCTGCGTCGCCGTCGTCGTCGAGCTTGCTGTTCCCGAGCTCAGACCAAAACCCTGCCTCAGCGTGCTCACCGCCCTAGCATAGATCTGAAGGGCTGTAGAGATAAGCAGGCCAGCGCTCATCTTCGTGCTGGGGTCTGATCTGCAGGTCGGGCAATCGGCAGAACAAGCGCACTGGGCCGAAACAGCTTGACTAGCGCTCAGCGTCAAGTGCAAGGTCTGACCCCTCTCTCTAGCCGCATCGTAGTTCGCGCTGCCGCTGGAGCTCCGTCCATCTGGGTGCTGCGACTGAGATGAGCTGGACACGGTCTGATCAGCAGCTCGCAACGTGGCCCGAACGCTGAGCAGCGCAACCGAAACGTCGCACAGACATGTGCATCCCTTGCCGCTGGGGTTGGGCACGCAGTGTACCCGATGTCCAGATGATTTGCTGCTGCTGCTGTGGCTATGCGACGATCGAGATCCAGCCACAGATGGGGTGGATTTGCTTCCCTTTGCAGTTTCCGGTGTCAAAGATTCGTTTCCAGTCCGTAAAGACGCTTCTTGAGCGCCACAGCAGCAACCAGGCGCACCCGTCACGGGACACTGCTCATCCTTGATGGCATTCGCGCTGGCTGTCACGATAGATGTGCTCGCTGGACTAGGCTGCTGAGAGACGGAGTCCCCTTGAGTCACCTCCTCCCGAAGGCGGCCATGACCTTGCCAGCCCGTGCCCACAAAGACTCCTTCCGATGTTCTAAGCTCGCCCTGACCCATACCTCCGTCAACACCCCTCGGCCAGCTCCGCGGACTTTCCCAAGCGGGCTCGAGGGTTCCACCAGTCGGGCCGAGGGTCGAGATGCTTCCTGAAGAGCCCTTCATATGCTGCTGCTGACCTTCACGAGTAGCCTCAGAGACGAGCAGGTTCTGAGCTGCCGCACTATGAGACGAACCGGCAGTCTGATCCAGCCACGTCGGGTTCCACCAAGAAAAGTCGGCAGGCACCGCATAGCTAACATCCTTGTCCATGGCGCTGCTGTGCCGAGTGGTCGGGACAACCGCCGCAGTCGCAGACGAAGAGGAAGGAGCACCGTTGCTCATAAATGCTTCGTTCGCAGTTGCTAGTGGATCAGGCCAAGCATTGATCATGCCTATGGTCAAACCGTCAGAACTGCCAATCTCTAGCGTGTCGAGCGAGTTGAGAAAAGCTGCAACTGCCAGATTGTCGAGATTCGGTGAAGCAGAGTCTGCTGTCGCAAGACCCCCTGCAGCACCTAGATGCGGGAAGCCCGCTTCACTGTTCAAGCTTGTATCCGCCGAAGACATGCTCGACCAGGGCGAAGCCTGTGAGGAGGCAGTCGTGGCTGTGGAGGTCGTTCCACTTGATGCAGCGCCCGGGTGCCTGTGATCCCATTCTGCAGGTACCTGCGAGAGGCCATAAGGGGCCCTTGGTGATTGAAAAGGGCCGCCTTGGGAAGGTTGTTCGTGCGAAGGAGTGGCGGGATAGCCAGGAGATGCCACGGGAACCGACTGTCTGTTGTCCGAGCGCTGTTTTTTGCTACCTTCCTCGCCGTTGAGCGTGTGGCTCAAGGGTCCAGCAGAGGATGGCAAATGCCCGCTCATCTTCCCATTGGCTCGCTGCGCTCCACCGTTTAAGCTGGAGGGTGAAGGACGAGGCTCATCCTCCATGTCGTTCTCCGCACCTTTCCTCTTCTTGGGTCGGCCGATCGGCTTGCGTATTTCTGAGAGTGCCGCAGACTGCGTCAGCAAGCCCGCCCGCAAGACGGCGTTCTTTGAGGAGCGCCATGATTTAGCTCTAGCGGAGTCATCCTGAACTCACTGTACACGCAATCTTTGCCCTCCTCGATGCACCGCGCGCACTTTGCAGATCCATCGCATTTCAGCTTTCGAGACCTGCAAGACTCGCAAGCAGATCTTGGCGGCAGCACCGCATTGGGTGGGAGATTGGTCAATGTGACTTCTCGCGCTGGGGCGTCGACGCCTGATCGCTTGATCTCTGATGATCCAGCAGCGCCATGAAGCTTTTTGGGAAGTCCCGAAGAGGAGCCAGGCATCGAAGATACAGTGCTGGGTGAATTCGCGCCGGAGCCTGGCTCGCCCGCTAGAGTGCGCGCCATCGATGTGTGAGATGAGGCCGCAGCTGGAGAGCTTGCCGTGGAGGGCGTTGCTGAGAATGCTAAAGGGCTAGTCGCGGACGCTAGAGAAGTGCTCGAAGCAGATCGAACTTGACAGCACGAAGCCATGGTCACTGTGATTGTAGCGTCTCGATGGGCCGTTTGCAGCGACAATGGGATTGGCTGACGGTCGATGTAGGAGTATAGGCGGCCTTGCGTGGGTCCCTCAAACGAGGCCCGGAGAAGAACTTTGCGTGGCAGGCAGTGGCTAGTTTTGCCCCGTTTTCGTTTTCGTCACCAGCAAAGCCTTTCGTACCGAGCAGCAAAGACCCACGATGAGGCGCCCTTCTACACTTGACCGGGCCCTAAATTTAGGCTGGCGACCCTTGAGGGCAGAGGAGGAGGATGAGGTATGTCGGAAGCAGTGCGATGGAGAGTGTGGGTCAGACTGAGGGCGGAAAGCAAGCTGCGAAAGGGCGGAGCTGCGTCGGGTATCGGCATATACAGTAATTGTTGTGAGTTGTGAGATGCTCTTTGGTCGGTCGGCCTGCAGCGATGCAGGCTCTCAAGAATGAATTGAAAATGAGAGTCGCGAGTCACAGAAGAGTCGAGTGTCGGGCCGAGCGCATGTACTGTTGTGTAGTATGCGAGGTGTTGCAGCCGCGGCGCCTCTCACGATGCGCGACAGCTGCTGACTGCGCTGTGAATTGTGCAACTGAGAATCACGAATGCCGCAGAGATGACGGGCGCGTCTGAGATCGAGAGCGCAGCGCAAACATGCGAGAACGCAGCGCAAACATGCACCTTCAGACCGAGTGCAATGCCATGAAGAGGGTGAAGCCCAGCTGGTTCGTCGTGTTGCTGACCCCTCCTTGCCTGCAATCCGCTCGCTTGGCGCGTATGGCGTGATGGCGTGATGGCGGTCAAGGCGCTTGCCTGCTTGCTGCCTGCTTGCTTGCTTGCTTGCTTGCTTATTGCTGCTGCGAGCGCTAGCCAAAATCAGCTTTATCCGAAGCGCGCCGCTTTGCTCGAGTGCATTATACGGTACTTGACTTTTCGGGTGACTCGAGCGTACGCGGGTGTCGCGTGCGATGAAGAGACCAGAACGGTAGGGTAGCGTTGCTATACTGCGCTGCCTTCATCTCGAGACTGTGACTGTGGGTGCGAGCCAAGCTCTGCCATTTCTTTCTTTTGTATGCACATTTGATTGCCAAGGAGGCTCGAGCGAGGGAGCGAGGACTGCCCTGCTTCTCACGTGCAGCACGTATTTCGCATGGCTTGACATCGATCGGCTTTCTGTCCGGGAACGCCTCCACGGACCTCCGAGCATATGCCGGCAACACGTGATGATCTTTTTGCTTCACCGAACGCGTGCCTCTGCGCGTTAGGGGCACAATCTTGAATCTGAACGCGCGGAGAAGTGGGCAGAGTGGAATCAAGACACACAAGTGAGACATGGCCCTTTGGCATGCAGCGGCTACAGTATACAGTAGGGCAAAGTCCTGCGCACAGCTGTTGTGTATAGGAGAGAGAGCGTAGCCATGCATGCAGCGAGCGATGCAACAGTTGTGAGTTGTGAGTTAGAGCCTGATCGAGTCGCGAGTTGCTTGCGGGGGCTGTGCAAGCTTGCGGGTAGGAGACGTGCGGGTCGCAGTGTGATTCGAATTCGCAGGGATCACACGGCAGGCATCCTGATCGAGTAGCTCCTGTATCAGTCACATACGCGCTCAATTGCTGGAAGCATCCGTCACTGCACTACACGCGATCATTACGACAAGCAGCACGAGGCAACGATTGGCGATCGAGTTCCAAGATCTTCGACCATCACCA